CTGAAGGTGTACTTTGGTATTCGGTATTGGAACAGGTCGCCGAGTACTACTAGGTGGGCTGAGTTTGGGCTCGTTTTCTTAGGTATGACGAGCTCTTACCTCCAGACTTGACGGAGTGACCTGAAGGTGTACTTTGGTAATCGGCATTGGAACAGGTCGCCGAGTACTACTAGGTGGGCCGAGTTTGGGCTCGTTTTGTTAGGTATGACGAGCTCTTACCTACGGACTTGACGGAGTGACCTGAAGGTGTACTTTGGTAATCGGCATTGGAACAGGTCGCCGAGTACTATTAGGTGTGTCGAGGTTGGGCTCGTTTTGTTAGGTATGACGAGCCCTTACCTCCGGACTTGACGGAGTGACCTGAAGGTGTACTTTGGTAATCGGCATTGGAACAGGTCGCCGAGTACTACTAGGTGGGCCGAGTTTGGGCTCGTTTTGTTAGGTATGACGAGCCCTTACCTCCGGACTTGACGGAGTGACCTGAAGGTGTACTTTGGTAATCGCTATTGGAACTGGTCGCCGAGTACTACTAGGTGGGCCGAGTTTGGGCTCGTTTTGTTAGGGATGACGAGTCCTTACCTCCGGACTTGATGGAGTGACCTGAAGGTGTACTTTGGTAATCGGTATTGGAACAGGTCGCCGAGTACTACTAGGTGGGCTGAGTTTGGGCTCGTTTTCTTAGGTATGACGAGCTCTTACCTCCGGACTTGACGGAGTGACCTGAAGGTGTACTTTGGTAATCGGCATTGGAACAGGTCGCCGAGTACTACTAGGTGTGCCGAGTTTGGGCTCGTTTTGTTAGGTATGACGAGCTCTTACCTACGGACTTGACGGAGTGACCTGAAGGTGTACTTTGGTAATCGGCATTGGAACAGGTCGCCGAGTACTACTAGGTGTGCCGAGTTTGGGCTCGTTTTGTTAGGTATGACGAGCCCTTACCTCCGGACTTGACGGAGTGACCTGAAGGTGTACTTTGGTAATCGCTATTGGAACTGGTCGCCGAGTACTACTAGGTGGGCCGAGTTTGGGCTCGTTTTGTTAGGTATGACGAGCCCTTACCTCCGGACTTGATGGAGTGACCTGAAGGTGTACTTTGGTAATCGGTATTGGAACAGGTCGCCGAGTACTACTAGGTGGGCCGAGTTTGGGCTCGTTTTGTTAAGTATGACGAGCTCTTACCTCCGGACTTGACGGAGTGACCTGAAGGTGTACTTTGGTAATCGGCATTGGAACAGGTCGCCGAGTACTACTAGGTATGCCGAGTTTGGGCTCGTTTTATTAGGTATGACGAGCCCTTACCTCCGGAATTGACGGAGTGACCTGAAGGTGTACTTTGGTAATCGGTATTGGAACAGGTCGCCGAGTACTACTAGGTGTGCCGAGTTTGGGCTCGTTTTGTTAGGTATGACGAGCCCTTACCTCCGGACTTGATGGAGTGACCTGAAGGTGTACTTTGGTAATCGGCATTGGAACAGGTCGCCGAGTACTATTAGGTGTGTCGAGGTTGGGCTCGTTTTGTTAGGTATGACGAGCCCTTACTCTACTCTACTACTAGTACTAGTACTAGTACTAGTACTGCTCGGCGACCTGTTCCAATGCCGATTACCAAAGTACACCTTCAGGTCACCCCGTCAAGTCCGGAGGTAAGGGCTCGTCATACCTAACAAAACGAGCCCAAACTCGGCCCACCTAGTGGTACTCGGCGACCTGTTCCAATGCCGATTACCAAAGTACACCTTCAGGTCACTCCATCAAGTCCGGAGGTAAGGGCTCGTCATACCTAACAAAACGAGCCCAAACTCGGCACACCTAGTGGTACTCGGCGACCTGTTCCAATGCCGATTACCAAAGTACACCTTCAGGTCACTTCGTCAAGTCCGGAGGTAAGGGCTCGTCATACCTAACAAAACGAGCCCAAACTCGGCACACCTAGTAGTACTCGGCGACCTGTTCCAATGCCGATTACCAAAGTACACCTTCAGGTCACTCCGTCAAGTCCGGAGGTAAGGGCTCGTCATACCTAACAAAACGAGCCCAAACTCGGCCCACCTAGTGGTACTCGGCGACCTGTTCCAATGCCGATTACCAAAGTACACCTTCAGGTCACTCCGTCAAGTCCGGAGGTAAGGGCTCGTCATACCTAACAAAACGAGCACAAACTTGGCACACCTGGTAGTACTCGGCGACCTGTTCCAATGCCGATTAATAGAGTACACCTTCAGGTCACTCCATCAAGTCCGGAGGTAAGGGCTCGTCATACCTAACAAAACGAGATCAAACTCGACACAACTAGTAGTACTTAGCGACCAGTTCCAATACCGATTACCAAAGTACACCTTCAGGTCACTCCATCAAGTCCGGAGGTAAGGACTCATCACACCTAACAAAACGAGCCCAACCTCGGCACACCTAGTAGTACTTAGCGACCTGTTCCAATGCCGATTGCCAAAGTACACCTTCAGGTCACTCCATCAAGTCCGGAGGTAAGGGCTCGTCATACCTAACAAAACGAGACCAAACTCGGCACACCTAGTAGTATTTAGCAACCTGTTCCAATGCCGATTGCCAAAGTACACCTTCAGGTCACTCCATCAAGTCCGAAGGTAAGGGCTCGTCATACCTAATAAAACGAGACCAAACTCGGCACACCTAGTAGTACTCGGCGACCTGTTCCAATACCGATTAGCAAAGTACACCTTCAGGTCACTCCATCAATTCCGGAGGTAAGGTAATAGAAAACAGTAAAATAAATTTGAGTTTTCTAATGGTTTTATTTGAAACTATTCTTTTTCTCTTATTTTAGCTATTTTGCAAACGAAGCTTGGTTTTTTTTTAGAATTTGTGAGGTGGCGTTTTAAATGTTTATGTATGTAAATAGTAGACTAAGTACCTACCTGCTCATATCATAAAACTGACTTTAAAAAAATATTGATAATTAAAATGTAGTTGATGTCCAGACTAACTATATTGTAAACAGTTTTGATTTTAGTGAGTAGGTTCTCAAAATATGATTACTAATACCTAGTGGTGTTGAGAACAGTAAACCTCACGGAAAAGTTTTTGTTTGGAGGTGAATTGTCTGCTTGCTTTGCGCATACTGTGTTCACGCGGCGCTCTCCGACAGCCGGTTGCGCTCCGCCCACTGCGGGACGCGCGGGTGAAAAACGAATTTGAAATCGTGCTAAGAGCTCGTCTTAACGGCGAATTCAACTTAAGAGAGGTGTATGTATGAAATATTTACTCAACAATCGTCCATGCAATGGAGCTCAAACTGTAAAAGTTATCTTGTTATGTGTAAATACAGGCCTCTTATTTTTCTTAGAAGGTGTAGGACATAGAATTATTAGGCATTGTCCGCACTGCCTCATAGCACTAAGCAGGAGATAGTGAGAGTTTCTAATTTTTTTATATATAGAAAAAGTGGCTAACTGATGGTTAGTGGTGACCGCCGCCCATGAGCAGCTGCAACATGAGGGGTATCGTTGCCGGCCTTTTTAAAAAGAGTAAGCTCGTTGCTTGAAGGTCTATGCAATAGGAAGATGCGAGAAAGAAAATTTCTGATAAATTACACAGTGATGGACCAAAAATCATACCGATGGAATGAATGGTATCATCGCGAGCTGCGTCTGAACTCTGAAGTAAACGTATTGATTATACTGCCAGCCATCGAAATCCATAAGATTTTACTGACATTTTGCTGATCTGATGATGAAAACTTATTTGGTTATAATATATTTAGTTAATTGGCACTGTGTGCTTCTAAAATGATTCAACATATCCAGTTCCCGATTTTGTTTGTCATATTTTTCTTTGTTTTATTTTCCGCACTAATATGTTGGTAAAATAATAATAATATGATTAGTGACAAAAATGGTCTATGCCGGGTAGTGAGACTTAATTAGACTATTACTTTAGATTTTTAAATACCTAAGTGACTCACACTCGGCATGTAATTTGGTAAGTTATTGTTATCAAACTCAGGAGATCCTCGGGTTTTTTTCACTTGGATAGATCTATGATTACAAAGAAACTTTTTTCTACTTTAACGGAGTAGAAGCCTATAGAACTGATATTTTACAAAAAATAAAAAAAATTGAATTAAATAAATACGAAATATAAGGAAGTGACAAGATGTTTTATAGCCGTAAGTAAAGTAGGGTGGATATGATTTGAATTTCGTTAGATTTTAATTAATTAATTTTTTTAATTCAAAATTTTTGTTTTTATTTTATGTAAAATATCAGTGCCATAGGCTTCTACTCCGTTCACATGTTACATCCTATTTTTTTCCAGACGGTAAAAAAGGTCATCCAGTATAAAGACTAGCAATGCTATTAACATTTCAAGTGTTTCAATTGTCAATGCAAGAAATGACTCACGATTACGACTTTTAGTTATTTAAGCAGTACTAACCCTCAACCATTACCACAGTACGCCATTTCCATTACCAAATTTTGGTAATAAGATATTGCGTTTTTCATTACATTTTCTCAGTATCGTATCCTATTAGTTCTGTGGATACCCGTACAAACTAGTAGCGACAAAGTGTTCCTTTGTGTTTGTGTATGAGTGAAGTTAGTGATTCAGACAAGCCAACCAGCAGCGAGCTATTCAGTGATTCAGTTCGGTTCGGTTCAGCAACTCAGCTCAGTCACTGTTGATTCATGCCGAGTGTCGCGCGCGTAGTTATTGTTATCGCTTAATTTTATTACACAAACTTTCACTTGCGAGTGTTTGTAAATAAAACGCAACTTCAAAGTTTTAATCGGTTTAAAACATGGATGGCCTTTGCTTTTTTTATTCCAATGCAAGGTCTAATTATTAACGTTATGCAAAGCTTTGTGTTTTATAGTAAAAGTGATAATAATACAAAAGATTTGTGGTAACCAGTTTTGAAAACATTACGCTACAATAAACAATCACCTTTCATTAAGTGAATTTATTTTTGATTGCAAAAGAGTGATTTAGTGTAAGGTTTTAATTTTTAAGGAATAAGCATCATGAATAAAGATTACGGTGAGTTATTTCATGGTGTCATATTGGCATAAAGCTACTCAGTTCAACTACTAAGATTTGTAAATTTAAAAAAAAAAAACTATGTATTGTCAACAGCTCACATGAGGCATTTTTTACCAAGTGGGTAATATCGCAGTTTAGATCTTTAAACTGCTATAATAGTGTACCTACTCATTAATTAGAAATTAAAGTAATGTAAAAATGTAAAATTTAGCGTGACATATTTCTAAAGAAGTAGGTAGGTATGCAAATTGTGGCGTTAATCCTTGTATTTGTTATTTAAAATAATTTATTCGTAACTTACAAAATCTTAACAACGTAATATAATATAAAATGTATATATGGAAGCTGAGCACAATACGATAAATTGTAGTACTTACATAATATAATTATACTCACTTAAAAATGTCTTCAAATCGTAAGTAAATTAGGAGTCGTGCCAAATAAGGATCTACGGTAGCTCAGGCGCTGGGCGCACGTTTACTACGCGAGTTCTTAGCAAGGTACGAGGGTTCGATCCCAAATTCAAAAATTGCTTACTATAGGTGTCTACTTTTGACTGCCTCGTTGGTCTAGTGGTTGTAGTAGTGCAACTGCTGATCATAAGGTCCTGGGTTCGAATCCCGGGTCAGGCCAAAAAATCAATTATTAAGTTCTTCTGTCAAGAAATTCTCAGGAGCGGCACGGAGTCAGGAAGTTGGCAGTGTCTCAACCCGTCCTCGGAAAGCACGTAAAGCCGTTGGTCCTGCGCCTGATCTCTCTCCCGGTCGTGTCGGTTTACTGTCCCATCGGATTACGAGAGTGAGGGAATAGAGAGTGCACCTGTGCTTGCGCACTTGGGCACTATAATCCTGTCCTGTGCCGATGGCTAGCCTTCGTTGAGGTAGGCCGCCGTGGCCGTAATTCGGTCTGGAGGACATTATTATTATTACTATATCTACTAGATACATGTACCTATATTTTATATCCTCATTCTATGAATGCTTCTAAAATTTCTTAGCATTATGGAGATTTGAAAAACATCTAAAATGTCATAAGCGTCTACTCCGTTTACCTACTAATACATCCATAAAGGTTCTTTAAAATTTTCCTTATAACGCTATTAAAAAATGTAAAAGGATTTTTATGAATAATTGAGTGACCAACTAGCTAACAGTGCATCTGATGGTGAGTGGATGATGCAGTTGAAGAACCTGTAATAATTTCATACAATAAAGGCACCTCCGAGGACTAAGGCGAGCGTTTGACAAGGCTTGTGGCCTGAACGCTCTTGAGCCACCTGGATGCATCGATTTCCTGTATGACTTACCACAGGTCGTCACTAGTGAGGGGCCGCGTTAAACTTCGCTTATCGTTACGAATATACGTGAGATAACCAACTTTTGATTTTGAACCGCCGGAGACGCATACCTGCAGTCGTACATATATATATATGGACGATGCACGAGCGGTGCTGGTCGGAGCTGCCTGTCTAAGAACTTGTTGATCTGTTGGACTATTTCGGTTACTCTGTTTCTACTACAGATATCCTCATCCTCATAGCCCAATCATAGCTCGCTGAGCAACCATAATCATAATAGATCATTCATTCTCATCATACATTCTCTTACTAGGTTGTTACTCCATTTAGTGAGGAGCCGCTGTACATTTCGTTTACATGATGTAATGCAAGGCTGCCACTAGAAAACCTATCTTCTCCATCGGGTATCGGCTCTTCTAGCTACATGGCCGTCCCATTGACGCATCAGCTTACTGATCCGTGCGTTATCCTTTACTTTGGTCCTACTACGGATCAAGGTATTTTCCATAGCTCGCTAAGCGACCTTGAGCTCATGATACGAGCAGCAGTAAATAACGAAGCCTCAGATCCACATGTCAGCACCGGCAATGCGTACTGATTGTACATTATATAAATGGATGTGAATGATAAGTTTGTTAAGATCGTGCAGCGTGCTAAATGAAATGCCGTAGTCCCTGCCAACCCCTCTGTTTTACAGGCGTGAGAGTTTGTCAATGTGTGTTTTTCATGCACGCCTAATGTTCCCTACTAAGGCCTTACCTTTAGATGGAATGCGTCATATTCTATAATTACACATGGTGTTCCGTTCAAGTTGGGATACGACAGTGGATTGTGCAGTGGTTACTACACCGAAAGAAAAAGGAGCGCTGCAACTCCACACCGAGATGTATTTTATGTATATATTTATTAGGATCTGTTTATTTTAAAAATAGAAGGACGTTTGCTGTCGACCTTATTTTCAGACGGCACAGCATTACGCCTCCGGAATACTAAATTGACCTTCATGAGAGCAGTGACATCTAATTGCCCAACATTTTTTATTATTGTAAACAGAGGATTTAAATAGATCGATTAGACTCGAATTCGGGTTATTTTGCGATAACCGGCCAAATTTGCAGAGAAGGTTCAGAATGAGTAATATAAGTAGACAAATGGTGAAAAACCTTAAACATTCTGTCCTTTTTATCTTTTAAATTCAAAATGCATGGTAATGCATTATTATAACTGATTTTACTGCGCTCGCACACATACACATGCACAAGGGGCAAAAACGTTTTTGCTAATAAATCACGTTAAATTTGGGATAATTTCAAATAAAAGTATAAGCCATATTTATTTACTAATATTTTTAAAAACTGCAATGACGGTATATCATTATTAATATATTTGAAGTTAAGTTTAAAATTTGACTACTCTTTTAAAAATAACCCTATATATATCTGTGTGATGTAATTACAGAAATCCTAATAAATTTAGTATCTACTACAATGTCTTATTGCTGGCCAAACTGTTGTGACCCAAAGATCTCTCATCACCTACTAGTGTAGTAAAGCCAATGAAATTGTTTAAAAACAATTGGTCCTCCAATATAATCCATTCAGATGCCTTATTTGTATTTTATTTCATATGACTGCACAATGCAGGTGCAATGGATGAAAGTTTAGTCATCTTTCCATCTTTGCGTTCAAAGCATTAGGCTAACGAAATGAATTTTTTGATCTCTGATATTATGGCATCCTAAGTATCACGATTTTATAATGATCACACATGATAACACACTGTTCTTTTGACATTGTTTGTGTATAGAACGCCGATTAACCGAATTAATTGGGACCGGGGTCGATTCGGATAATCGAAAATTCGGATAATCGGACATAGGCTGGTTATAAAGAAAAACGAATATAATAGAATAAACTTTTTTTGGTAATACTAAATTCAAAAATTCATGTTATAATAAATGGAAAGAATTTTTCAATGAACGTTCTAAAACGAAAGGTATTTGGTATAAAACGATATACAGTGAACCGCCTCGAATAACTTGGTTTATAGCATTGAGCTGTTATGTACTACGTACTAGAGGCGACGCTGCATTCAGCTACTCTGTTCCACTCAACTGCGGTGCATACACCGCACTTTAATCAGTTACTCGCTAGGCGCTTGTAGAGTTGGGGTGTATTTAAAAAAATCTCTTGATAAAAATATGCCGTCGTGTGTACTTAGATATTGCACAAATAATTCAAGAAATGTCAGTAAAAACCAAGGAATTACTTTTCATCGGTTAATAAGATACTTAATCTGTAAAAAAAGTATTATAGATTAATAATAAAACAAATTACTCCTAAGACGCCATCTCGTGTCATGGAATATAGATTAGACATTTCTGTGGGTACTTAAGTATAGGACGAATATATTATTATAATTATACACATTTTTTGTAGAAACATATATAAGTTAATATAATTAGGCTAAATTTTTCGTATTTAAATCTACTTATTATTGTTTTATTTTATTTTTAGTTTTCCAAATCAATGTTAAAGTGGAATAAATTCGTCCATTTTTAACTATCGCGTACCCAGCATTTATGAACGACTCTTATTCTAATTTAAATAAATATATTTGTAATTATAATGGTTAAATGTTACGTTAATAAGTTTTCTTAAACATACATTTAGTATGTTTTTTTTATATTTGACATAGATACCTTTTAAAATATTCAGATAAAAATATCCTTAAAATGTAATTGCGCTTTAATATTATGTAATATTACAAATATAATGCACAAAATAAATGACAAAATTTAAATATTGTTCTCGATTTAATTTAACAATACAATCTACTATTACCTTCGGATCATTCTACCTATGTTTATTCTATGATAAAAAAAAACCAACCGCGCGAACACAGAGTAGCGCACATTTTTTGTTTGAAGCTGTTCTAGTACGTAAGTACATATTACTTCAATGGTTTATAGATACAAAATTAAATAGAAATACTATTAAATTAATATTTAGAATAAGAACAGGTCACATTCCACCAAAAAAATTTTCTTATTTTATGAAAAGAAGTGATTCACCTAACTGTGAAATTTGTGGAGTAATTGAAGACTTACGAGTACATCATTTTTAATGGAGTGTAAGCGGAACCGAGGGGCAAGGGAATTATTTGTAAGGAAATGTAAGATAAATGTGTATAATATAGGTATTGCGCAGGGCATCCTACATGCTCCCGCCTCGGATATTGCATTAAGTTTGTGCAGTTTAATAACAAATGTATAGATTTTAAGTTAGCGTTAATGGGATTGACATGTTAACGAGCAAAAATCCCTAAATAAAACAAGAATTAAAAAAAGAATAAACTTTGTTAAGTTTAACAAACATAGTTCTACAATACGGGAGGAGCTTACTGACAGTAATTAAGTTTCACGGAAGCCGCGCGGCGCAAAACATGTAGTGTCTTGCCTCTAGCTTTCAACCATAACAGTTGAAATATAACTAGACTCCAGCGAGTTCCAACTTGTTACAACAAAACAAAACAAAAATTACATTACATACTTACAGTACTTGTTTTCAATTTTTTATATTACGCTTAGGACCGATTCGGGTAATCGGAGTTCTTGATTCAAAAAAAAAAAAAAAAAAAAAACAAACAATATGAATCAATGATAGAATGCTAACGATAGTTACAGTACATTATGGACTTG